TTTAAATGAATACGGACTAAATAATTATATCATGAATTAAATTAATAAAACATGGGTTAAAATATTTTTTTTTTACTACTACATATTTATATTGGACAAAAAATTAAGACTTGGCTGGAGCCCGGGTGAGCCACCCCCTGGCTCCGCCCCTGAATTATGCAGATGGAATAGTCAGGCGTGAGAACTTGGGCCGTGGGGGCAAGGGGCCAGAAAACTGGTTGCTGGAAAGTTCCAGAAGCTTCAAGGTTGATATGGTGAAAATGCAAGGTGGGATGGAGCCGGATAAGGAATTACTGAAGACTGTGAAGGTCTCGAGGGATGCTAGGCTACCAAGTTGTAGTGGCAATTCACCTGCAGCACAGTACAGTAGTTACGAATGACAATAGTAACTCATTAACATATAAATGATCAACTTATTAAATAATTAAAGCTTATTCAAGGATACTGTGTTAATTGCCATACATAGTATAGTCTATTTGCCTTAAGAGTAAGGAAACAAGCGGAGAATGATTTTGCTTATCTTGATTTGTTTGTATTCGTAAACATATATACCTGTTAAGTAATTATAGCCAAGTCGTAGATGCTTAAGGGAAGTACAGTTTCCAACTTGATTTGGTATGGGCCCTGTAAGTATGTCAGACAGAACAAATCGCTTGGTATGAATTAAAAAGTCCGAGAAAATTTTTATATATTAAGATATAGGAAGAAAATTTCCTGTGAGTGAAGCTTGAGAAATGTGTAACATCTCCAACTGTGAGAGACTCCCCAGTTCGCCGGAATTCCACCTGCAATTGTATATTAACAATTAACAGATAAAAAATAAAATAATCTTGATTTCAATTTTAAGTACTTATATTTTCTATAGTCAGCTAAGATGTGATCAAACCTTTCAAATCACTAAACCCGAGATACAGCTCCCTGAGCATACTCAAGTTTCCTATCTCAATAGGGATTTCGCCATTTAAATGGTTAATGGACAAGGACAAACTCAAGCTGTCCGCATTTGCCTATATTTGATGGAATTCTACTCTCGAGTTTCTTAGCCGACAGATAAAGCAGTTGCAAGTGCGGGAGGTTATCGCACAAACCAGCTGGGATCTTACCTGAAAGGTACTATTAGTTTGTACATGTTAAATCTGGTGCTTGTTGTGGCATAACAAACCAAAGCAAAAGCAAAGGAAAAAAATATCAAGTACATTCAATTGCTGTTTCCACAATAAGTTTTGAGTAACAGTTCAAATTTCAACTATATTCTCGCATTTTCAACACATTTTGATGTGCTCGTGTTTAGATCGCTACCTGAAAATTCTGTGGGCATATAAATTAATGGAAAGCAATATACTTCCTACAAGGGAAACAGAGAAGGTTAATACCTGAAAATTGGTTGGAAGAAAGATCCAAATAGATCATGGTCGTTATGTTGAAGATGGAAGATGGCATGGAACCGGACAAAGAGTTTTCCACACTGAAATACTCGAGCAACGTCAGATTACCTAACTCTTGAGGTAATTCACCGGCCATATAAACCCCATAAAATCATATAACCAACTTCTTATAAGCTAAACTTTCTTTTTCCATTCAAACACATCAACAACTCGTTTTATAATAAGATCTAACAGCTTATTATAATGTAAAATGCATAAAATTATTGGTAAATTTATATACTGTTTTAAATTTTCTATCATTCGATACCTTCGGTTCACAATTTATATACCTTTCAAATAGTTGGACCCCAAGTCCAACTCCCTGAGCTTGCTCAAGCTCCCAATCTCACGTGGGACCACGCAATCCAAATGGTTGCCGGACACAACAGCCTCTTGAGCCCTCTGCATTTCCATATAGTTGGTGGGATATTTCCCGAAAAACTGTTATTCCAAAGGCTCAGCCTCTCGAGCCGGGGCAAGGCCCCGAGCCACGACGGTATTTCCCCAGTCAAAGAATTGACTCCAAAGTTTATCTTCCTCAGGCGGCGCAGGCGGGACAGCTCGGGCGGCACGTGGCCCGTGAAGTCGTTGCGGCTGATGTCGAAGTACGTTAGGAACTCGAGGTTCCCGAGCTGCAGGCGCAGGCTGCCTGTGAGGGAAAATCCAGAAATATTCAGTGCAGTGACTCGTCGGTGGCGAGCCCCACAGGAGACGCCGACCCAGTGGCAGACATCGGGATTCGTGGTGTCGGCTGACCAGTTTCGGGCCAATGAGCTGTGTGGATCTGCTGAGGTGGCGGCTCTCAAGGCGAGGAGCGCAGTCTCGGTCGGTGGCTGAGAAGGGCTTGATGGTGTTGAGTAGCAGCAGTAAAAAAAGCAAAGGAAAAGCATGGAAGGCCCTCCATTTGATCAGCTGCTAATTAATTTGCAGGGATGAATGTTTTGTTTAGCTGTGCATATGTATGTATGATATGATAGTAGTCTTGAAATGAAATGAAGATATTAAGAGTTAGGACCCTACTTGGTTTTATTACAATTTTCATATTTCAGATGTTTCTGGCCAATGTTTTACAATTCAAGATTTTGATGTCTTAATCTTATGGAACGACTGTTTATTTGTCTGCATGCATGGTTACTGTTAAAACTAAAAACACCTAAAATAACAGTTACTTTCAATGTAATTGTGACCCATTTCGCAGGGTATCATGTACATATCTAAATTTGTGAATTTTTATATATTTTGTGGATCAAAAAGTTTGCATGTTTTGCATTCAAAACGTTTTGTCTTAACTCATAAATCAGTTATATATTAATTCACCATTACATTTATAATAACTGCACTATATGCTGTGTGAGGGCAGATATTTCAAACACTATCGTTTGGTCTCTATAGTTGACCGCGTCGGAGGTCCAAATCTCATCACTGAGACAGAAAGGTTTATTAAAAGTTTAACCCAAAAAAAAAAATGGGAAATTTGTAAATTGGGGTTACCCAATCAGTAAGAAAATAACTTCCTCTTTTTTGTTTAAAAATTGTCATTTTTAACTTTATATTAAGATCTAAAGAGCAGAAAGATTTAAGTAATGCATCCATAATCAATTAATAAAATATTGATCATTACATCATAGAAGTAGTTTACACAACAAGACTACCTCAACTCAGTCCAAAAGGTACAACCAAAAAATAAAAACAGAGCATCTCTCTGTCGCTGTATGTATGTGTATGTGTGTGTGTGTGCAGAATCAGTCATTAACTCAGCTACAAGAATATCCAGACCAAGACAAAGATACTATGTACAATAGAATCATGAGAACAAATGCCAAAAAAAAAAAAAAA